TATTTATTTATTTTTACAGATTGTCAAATTTGCTGGCATATAGTTGCTCATAATATGTTCTTATAATTGTTTGTATTTCTTGGGTATTGGTTATGATCTCTCCTCTTTCATTCATGATTTTATGAATTTGGGTCCTTTTTCTTTTCTTTTTGATAAGTCTGGCCAGGGGTTTATCAATCTTATTAATTCTTTCCAAGAGCTAGCTCCTAGTTTCGTTTATTGGTTTTACTGTTCTTTTGGTTTCGATTTCATTGATTTCTGCTCTGATCTTTATGATTTCTCTTCTCCTGCTGGGTTTAGGGTTTCTTTCTTGTTCTTTCTCCAGCTCCTTTAGGTGTAGGGTTAGGTTGTATACTTGAGACCTTTCTTGCTTCTTGAGAAAGGCTTGTATCACTATATACTTTCCTTTCAGGACTGCCTTTGCTGTGTCCCACAGATTTTTAACAGTTGTGTTTTCATTATCATTTGTTTCCATGAATTTTTTCTTTTTTTTTTTTTAAAGATTTTATTTATTTATTTGACAGACAGAGATCACAAGTAGGCAGAGAGGCAGACAGAGAGAGAGGGGGAAGCAGGCTCTCCACCAAGCAGAGAGCCCGATGCGGGGCTCGATCCCAGGACCCTGAGATCATGAGGGCTTAACCCACTGAGCCACCCAGGCGCCCCTCCATGAATTTTTTCAATTCTTCTTTAATTTCCTGGTTGACCCATTCATTCTTTAGTAGGATACACTTTAGCCTCCATGTGTTTGAGTTCTTCCCAACTTTCCTCTTATGGTTGAATTCTAGCTTCAGAGCATTGTGGTTTGAAAGTAGGCAGGGAATGATCCCAGTCTTTTGGTACCAGTTGAGGCCTGATTTGTGACCCAGGATGTGATCTGCTCTGGAGAATGTTCCATGTGCACTAGAGAAGAATATGTATTCTGTTGCTTTGGGATGGAATGTTCTGAATATATCTGTGGTGTCCATCTGGTCCAGTATGTCATTTAAGGCCTTTATTACCTTGTTGATCTTTCGCTTGAATGATCTGTCCCTTTCAGTGAGGGGGGTGTTAATGTCCCCCATTACTATTATTATATTATTGTTGATGTGTTTCTTTGATTTTGTTATTAAATGGTTTATATAGCTGGCTGCTCCCATGTTAGGGGCATAGATTCTTAAAATTGTTAGATCTTCTTGTTTGACAGACCCTTTAAGTATGATATAGTGTCCTTCCTCATCTCTTATTATAGTCTTTGGCTTAAAATCTAATTGATCTGATATAAGGATTGCCACCCCAGCTTTCTTTTGATGTCCATTAGCATTTTAAATTGTTTTCCACCCCCTCACTTTAAATCTGGAGGTGTCTTTGGGTTTAAAGTGATTTTCTTGTAGACAGCAATTTGATGGGTTTTGTTTTTTTATCCATTTTGAGACCCTGTGTCTTTTGATTGGGGCATTTAGCCCCTTTACATTCAGGGTATCTATTGAAAGATATGAATTTAGTGCCATCATATTGCCTATATGGTGACTATTACTGTAGACTGTCTCTGTTCCTTTCTGGTCTACTACTTTTAGTCTCTCTCTTTGCCTAGAGGACCCCTTTCAATATTTCTTATAGGGCTGGTTTGGTGATTAAAAATTCTTTTAATTTTTGTTTGTCTGGAAGCTTTTTATCTTTCCTATTTTCAGTGATAGCCTAGCTGGACATAGTATTCTTGGCTGCATATTTTTCTCATTTAGTGCTCTGAATATATCATACCAGTTCTTTCTGGCCCGCCAAGTCTCTGTGGATAAGTCTCTGCCAATCTAACATTTCTACCATTGTATGTTACAGATTTCTTGTCCCAAGCTGCTTTCAGGATTTTCTCTTTGTCACTAAGACCTGTAAGTTTTACTCTTACAGGACAGGGTGTGGTCCTATTTTTATTGATTTTGAGGGGGGATTCTCTCTGCCTCCTGGAATTTGATGCTTGTTCTCCTTGCCACATTAGGGAAATTCTCTACTATAATTCGCTCCAATATATCTTCTACCCCTCTCTCTTCTTCTTCTTCTTCTTCTTCTTCTTGAGTCCCAATTATTCTAATATTGTTTCATCTTATGATATCACTTATCTCTCAAATTCTCCCCTCATGGTCCAGTAATTGTTTGTCTCTCTTATGCTCAGCTTCTTTATTCTCTGTCATTTGATCTCCTATATCAGTAATTCTCTATTCTGCCTCATTTATCCTAGCAGTAGGACCCTCCATTTTTGATTACACCTCTTTTTTTTTTAGATTTTATTTATTTATTTGACAGACAGAGATCACAAGTAGGAAGAGAGACAGGCAGAGAGAGAGAGGGGGAAGCAGGCTCCCTGCTAAGCAGAGAACCCAATGTGAGGCTAGATCCCAGGACCCTGGGATCATGAACTGAGCTGAAGGCAGAGGCTTTAACCCACTGAGCCACTGAGACAACCCTTGATTGCACCTCTTTTTTTATTTCAACTTGTTTAGATTTTAGTTCTTTTATTTCTCCAGAAAGGGATTTTATTTCTCCAGAAAGGGTTTCTCTAATATATTGCATGCCTTTTTTGAGCCCAGCTACCACCTTGAGAATTGTCATTCTATAATCTAGTTCTGAAATATTACCAATGTCCATATTGATTAGGTCCCTAGCCATTGGTACTGCCTCTTGTTCTTTTTTTTTTTTTTTTTTTGTGGTGAGTTTTTCCACCTTGTCATTTTATCCAGATAAGAGTATATGAATGAGAGAATAAAATACTAAAAGTACAGCAAAGATGCCAGAAAAATGTACACTAACCAAATCAGAAGAGACCCAAAACCGGGGAGAGAAGAAGAAGAAGGGAGGACTGTTTTCTTTTTCTTTCTTTTTTTTTTTAAGGTCTTATTTATTTGAGAAAGAGAGAGAGAGGGAGAAGCAGACTCCCTGCTGAGCAGGGAGCTTGATATAGGGCTTGATCCCAGGACCTTGGGATCATGACCTGAGCTGAAGGCTGATGCTTAAGGGACTGAGACACCCAGGCACCCCATGGGAGGACTGTCTTCCTGTTTACCCTTGTATAGGAAAATTTAATCATAGGACTTGAGATAATGAGGTGTTTTTTTTTTTTTTTTTTTTTTTTTTTTTTTTTGAAAAGTAAGGAAAATAAATACTGGGAAACACATGCAATTTGTAGTTGTAGTAAAATATTCTTCTACACCATTCAGTCTTTTTCTTATTTTACTAAGATATTTCTTATTAAGTCTAATATTCATGTATAAGGCTTTATAAGATACTTTCCAAACTTCAAAAATTGCCAAACTCATTTAAGCTATTTTTTTCTGTAGCTTTAGTATGAATGTTCTTCATTTTATTGTGAGGAAAACTTGTGTTAAAAATTTCCATTCTTTATGTGTAATGTATAAACCCATTTGAGATAAACTCAAAGATAAAAGATTTTGCTGTAATCTATTAAACATTGTCAGATTCAGTATAATAGGTTTTGCTAAAATAGGAACCTATTTTCATTGCTTAGTTTTTACATATGTATATATATCCTATCTTCTCAGTAAGGTCAAACTTCAGGAGAGTGGGGCCTCTGACTTACCTTAATGCACCCGTGACAAGTCAGTTAGGGATAGAGGAATATAGGTTAAAGGTTGTGTTAGAAGCTGCTGATGCCCCACCGAGGTCCCCTCAAGTGGCTGGAGGCACCCTCCCTCAGCTGCTGAGGTGTCTGCTGCACCCATCTCTGGAGGGTAGTCTTGGGTTTTAGGAGATGTCTTGTCTAATGATCCTTGAAAGGTCAAGCACTCACACCCTGAGATTGTAACAGTTTAGCCCCTGTAAGTCGTTCAGTATATCAATGGTGCCACCCATGCTCCATAGCTCCCTGTGGAATTAGATTGATCTTGATTTCTCCTAAAACCATCTCCTTTTCCTAGCTTCTTACCCCAACTCTGCTGTTTTCTCATTCACTTGTAAATTTCTTTTTTTTGTTTCCTTGCAACGTACCTCCAAGTTTACTCATGTACAAAAGTATTTAATAAGCCTCACACGTCAGTACAGGAAAACACATAGTCTATGTAGCTCATACTTGAAAACCAGAATGGGTGACTGAGATCAGTATAGAGTCTTACAAAAAACACAGAAAGTACACACTGGGAATTGAAATACTACGTTCTTTCTTTCTAGAGATGTGACACCTGTGTTTCCTGGTCAGTACTTTCTATGAAACATTGTGCTAAATCAAAGCATACATGTGACCAGTAAAGTTGTCTGCTCTCTCCTACTTGCGCTGAGCTCGCTCAGTGGAACACCATCTTGGTAGGGAGATTTTGTCAGGAGGAAGGAACTAGAGACCCTACCCCAACAGAAAACCTAATAAACTTATTTATATAGAAAGAGTTTTAGCAAACCTGTACAAACACTTAACATGCTATTAGAAGGGGAGACCTTTGAGCCTACTTCCACAGCATTAAGCACATGCTCGTTGGTGCCCAGTAGACCAGGAAGGCCAACGCAGAAAGCATTTTTGCTTTCATAGCACTAACAGCTAAAAAGCACACAGCATATAATACTTTGATCTTTAAGTGGGTAATCTGGAAGCTCCAATATTATATCCACTAGGTTAGCCTGAGTATTTTTCTATAAAAATATTTTTCTAAAAATGCTTAAGAGAATTCTAGAAACAGACCACATCAGGACCACAGAAGACAGTGATGCAAGGACTGCCAAGTTTAAGACAAGGAAATGATTTCCACTTGTAGCTTCAGGAAAGGGACACCTCTCAGTTGATTCCTACAGCCCAAACTAGCTGGAATGGGAAGAGCTGCAGAGAGCTCAGCTGGGCAGGCAGCTGGCTTGACTAAGAGCCTAGAGATATGTTCTCCCACAGGCAAAAAGCCCACTGAGGCTGCAGGTCTGAGAGTGATGAATACAGAGGGCTGTGAGCAACACAAAAAGCCTGGAGGACATGCAGAGCCTGTTGAGCCAAAGAGGCCTGGAGGTGACCTATCAACACATATGCCAGGGAAGTGGCCCCAGGGCAATGCCAAGCTCGGGAGCCGGAGCCTAATGCGGAGGCCTGAGAGTGGTCTGCTTGGGGAGGAGTGCTAGGATTACTGAACACGAGAAGGTGCTTCAGGGTCTCAGGAGGGTCAGACCATTGTCTTGACCCATGAATACTTAATATTAATAAGGAGTTGCAGAGCAGTCAGTCTTTCTAACATGTATTCTGTCACATTAGCCAGAGCCTCTTCCAGTCTACTGGGCTGGCAACATCCAGGAAGATCCCATTGCTTGGTGGTGGGACCTAGGGTCGCAGGTCATTCTGGGAAGCTGGCACAGAAGAGGATTTGCACAATGAAGTCACCACTAAACCACTGCTTAAATCCAGTCCCCGGCCTTCTTTTTCTGCTCTGTAGTCCAGAAACATTTCTTTAAAAGCCAGAAAATCTGTAAACGTGAGCAGCATGTCAAATATGTCACCAGCCACTTCATCTTTATGGTGCTGTAAAGTCGTGGTGAAAGCCGCCATGTTAAATCCAGGAATCCGCTCCAGCAGCTGTTCTTCAATATACTTTTCTACCAGAGAAATGTATTCGTTAAAAATAGGTGTGTAGGTGAGTTTATTCTCTTCTGTGTCTTCAAACTCCTGATAGTACTTGTCCATGAAATTTCTCTGTAATAACTGGAACTCATCATCCATGTTAATGTCCTCTAAATACCCAACTACAGCATCAAATTCTGCATCAGAGGCGGAAGAGAAGGACAGCGCGAAGCTCTCTTCTTCTAGGGCGTGCATTGCCGCCACCGCATCCACCCGCAGAGCGAGCGGGCCGGCCGGCCTCCTGTCCCATCCGCGGTCCCGGCCCAACCTCGGCTCTGCTCCGTAGAGCCGCAACCCGCATCTAGGAGGCCTCGCCCGCTCACAGCGCAGCCGGGGTAGGCCCTACGGCGAGGCCCGGGCCTCAGGCTCCCCTGGAGCGGCCACGCGCCTGCGGGGCCTTCACAACCAGCCAGGTCTCTCGAGTGCGTCGCGGCCGCTCTGTAAATTTCTTTCTTAAAATTTTTTTCAAAAAATGTTATTGTGTTATATTAGTCACCATAAAACACGTCATTAGTTTTTTGTGTTTTTTTTTAAGATTTTATTTATTTACTTGGCAGAGAGAGATCAGAAGTAGGCAGAGAAGCAGGCTGAGAGAGGGGGAAGCAGGCTCCCTGCTGAACAGAGAACCCAATGTGGAGCTCCATCCCAGGACCCTGAGCCAAAGACAGAGGCTTAACCCACTGAGCTACCCAGGCACCCCTGGGTACATCATTAGTTTTTGATGCAGGGTTCCAAGATTCATTGTTTATGTACCATACCCAGTGCTCCATGCAATACTTACCCTCCTTAATACCCACCACCAGGCTCATCCATCTCCCCATCTCCCTCCCCTCTAAAACCCTCAGTTTGTTTCTCGTAGTCCACAGTCTTTCATGCTTCATCTCCCCCTCTGATTCCCCGCCTTCACTTTTCCTTTCCTTCTCCTGAGGTCCTCCATGTTATTCTTTATGCTTCATAAGTAAGTGAAACCATATAATAATTGACTTTCTCTGCTTGACTTACTTTACTCAGACCCAAAAGACTCCACCCCCAAATTACTAGAACTCATACAGCAATTCAGTAATGTGGCAGGTTACAAAATCAATGCCCAGAAATCAGTTGCTGTCTTACATACTAACAATGAAATAGTAGAAAGGGAAATTAGAGAATCGATTCCATTTACAATAGCACCAAAACCATAAGCTACCTTAGAATAAACCTAACCAAAGAGGTAAAGGATCTATATTCAAGGAGCTACAGAACACTCATGAAGTAAATTGAAGAAGTCACAAAAAGATGGAAAAAAACCTTCCATGCTCATGGGTTGGAAGAATAAACATTGTTAAAATGTCTATGCTGCCCAGCACTTATAAATTTCTTTCGAGAGTAAATGGACTCATTATGAAATCTGTATTCCCTAGCACACATGAGAGTAACTCCTGAAAACATGTTTAAAAATGAAAGCAGGACATGAGGCATCCAGTCATGGAGACATGTGATGGACAAAGGGTATAGGCATTTTAACTTTTCTGAGGTTAATGCTATTTTTCATTTGTATTGTCTGTGTCACCCTCCTTTCTCTTACTGTGTAATAATAATAAGACATAAATAGAGCATACTTATGCTTATGATTCCCAGGGAAGGCCACATAAATAATTTGGCTCTTTTTCCATTGGTTAGAACTTAGGATGGTGAAATGCCCATTATTTTCCTAAGATTGCATTTCTCTGATTTTTCACAGAAGATACTGCCTGAGTGGGTTGTAGTTGTCTGGATCTGGCAGGTTATTTATTTATTTATTTATTTATTTAAAGATTTTATTTATTTATTTGAGACAGAGATCACAAGTAGGCCGAGAGGCAGGCACAGAGAGAGGGAGGAAATAGGCTCACTGCTGAGCAGAGAGCCCGACGCAGGGCTCGATCCTAGGACCCCGGAATCATAACCTGAGCCGAAGGCAGAGGCTTTAACCCACTGAGCCACACAGGTGCCCCCAGGTTGTATATTTAAAGGAGACCACTTGGTAGCTACATTAACTCCTTCAGGCCTTTAGGGTAGTACTTAGTATAATTTAGGGTCAGTCTTAGCCAGGTCCAAACTGGTGAATTACTCTAAGTGATACACTAGAGCCTTGAGTGAGTTAACATAACTTCCCAACATGTTACCTCGATGAGCAAGCAGCTCATTTTTAGGAAGAGTTGGGCACAGTGAGTGCAGATGACAGGATCCAGAACAGGACATGGCTAGTTAGCTATTTTTAAGCACTACTCCCTCTTTTGCACCTTGGAGGTTAATTTTACCAAATGATAATCCCAGAGTCTGAGGGAATGAATGGTGTTTCCATTTGTTTAGAAATAGATGAGACATTGGCATAGTCTGGATCTGTGATCTGAAAAAGAAGATTAATCATTTCCAGTCTTAAAACAAAATCCAGTGTATTCTGAATCTTAAAGCATGGCATTTGTATGAGCTTGCTAGGGGCTGCCGTAACAAAATACTACAAGCTGGGTGACTTAAATAACAGAAATTTATTGTCTCGGAATTCTGGAAGGCTGCTGTTTGAGATGAAGATGTCAACAGAGTTAATTCCTTCTGAGGGATGTGAGGAAAGTCCTTCCCATGCCTCTCCCCTCACTTCTGCCCTTTTGCTGACAAGCTGGTATTCCATGGCTGGTACAAACATTATCCCCACTTTTGGTCTAATGGTCACATGGTGTTCTTCCAGTGCCTATCTGTCTCCAAATTTCCTATTTTTATGATGCCAGGCATAATCTTTGAGGCTTCTCTAACTCCATTACCTCCGTAAAGACCCTATCTATAAATAAGGTCATATTACTTACCACATATAAATTTGGACATGACCTAATTCAATCCATAACAGAATCATTAGAAAATTCTTTTGTGTTGGTGGATGTTCAAAGAAATTCAGTAATTAAGGATACACCTGGCATAACAGATACAAGACCATTAAGCTGAAAAACAATACATTGATGAGAGAAATTAAAGAATATCTAAGCACGTAGATATCTCATGTTCATAGAGTAGATGTTGCTAAAATGTTACTTTCCCCCAAACTGATATACAGATGTAATACAAATCCAGTTTTTTTAAAAAAAATTTATTTCTTTTGAGTTATTAATTTTTATCTTTTGAGCTTTAAAAAATTTTTTATTATGTTCTATTAGTCACCATACAGTACATCATTAGTTTTTGATGTAGTGTTCCATGATTCATTATTTGCATATAATACCCAGTGCTACATGCAATACATGCCCTCCTTTATACCCATCACTAGCCTAACCAATCCCCTCATCCCCTGCCCTTCTAAAACCCTCAGTTTGTTTCCCAGAAACCATAGTCTCTCATGGTTCATCTCCCCTTCTGATTTCCCACCCCCTTCATTTTTCCTTCCTTCTCCTAATGCCCTCCATGCTATTCTTTATGTTTCACAAATAAGTGAATTCATGCAGTAGTTGACTTTCTCTGCTTGACTTATTTCACTTAGCATAATCTCCTCCAGTCCCATCCATGTCAGTGCAAATGGTGGGTATTCATCCTTTCTGATGGCTGAGTAATATTCCGTTGTGTATATGGACCACATCTTCTTTATTCATCTTTCTGTTGAGGGGCATCTCAGCCCTTTCCACCGTTTGGCTATTGTGGACATTGATCTGTGAACAGTGGGGTGCATGTAGCCCTTCTTTTCACTACATCTGTATCTTTGGGGTCAATACCCAGTGGTGCAATTGCAGGATCATAGGGTAGCTCTATTTTTAATTTTTTGAGGAACCTCCATATAGTTTTCCAAATTGGCTGTACCAGATTGCTTTCCCACCAACAGTGTAAGAGGGTTCTCCTTTCTTCACAACCTCTCCAACATTGGTTGTTTCTTGCCTAGTCACTTTTGGCCATTCTAACTGGTGTAAAGTGGTATTTCAGTGTGGTTTTGATTTGAATTTCCCTGGTGCCTAATGATGTTGAATATTCTTTCATGTGTCTATTAGCCATTTGTATGTCTTCTTTGGAGAAGTGTCTGTTCATGTCTTCTGCCCATTTTTTGACTTGATTATTTGTTTTTTGGGTGTTGTGTTTGAGAAGTTCTTTATAGACCTTGGATACCAGCCCTTTGTCTAGTGTCATTTGCAAATATCTCCTCCCATTCTGTGGGTTACCTCTTTGTTTTGTTGACTGTTTCCTTTGCTGTGCAGAAGCTTTTTATCTTGATTAAGTCCCAGAAGTTCATTTTTGCTTTTTTTTCCCCTTGCCCTTGGAGACATTTCTTGAAAGAAGTTGCTGTGGCTGATGTCAAAGAGGTTACTCCCTATGTTTTCCTCTAGGATTTTGATGTATTCCTGTCTCACATTGAGGTTTTTCATCCATTGAGAGTTTATCTTTGTGTATGGTGTAAGAGAATGGTCAAGTGTCATTCTTCTGTATATAACTGTCCAATTTTCCCAGCACCATTTATTGAAGAGACTGTCTTTCATTCCACTGGCTATTTTTTCCTGCTTTGTAGAAGATTAGTTGACCATAGAGTTGAGGGTCTGTATCTGGCTTCTCTGTTCTGGTCCATTGATCTATGTGTCTGTTTTTGTGCCAGTACCATGCTTTCTTGATGGTCACAGCTTTGTAATATAGCTTGAATCAGGCAATGTGATGCCCCCAGCTTTTTTTTCTTTATCAACATTTCCTTGGTGATTCGGGTCTGATTCCATACACATTTTAGGATTGTTTGTTCCAACACTTTGAAAAATGCTACTCCTATGTTGATTGGGATGATACTGAAAGTAAAGATTATTTTGGGCAGCATAGACATTTTAAAAATGTTTATTCTTCCGATCCATGAGCATGGAATATTTTCCTTTCTTTTTGTGTCTTCTTCAATTTCTTTGAATAAACCTAACCAAAGAGGTAAAGGATCTATACTCCGGAAACTAAAGAACGCTTACAATTCCAATTTTAAAGAAGTCACATGCATGTTGGCTAATTGAGTATAAGTAAAAAAAAGTAAAAGAAAGAAAGCACAAATCAAAACTCCAGCATGTTCATTTATAGAAATAGGTCAGCTGATTGTAAAACCCATACAGAAATGCAAAGGACCTAGAATAGTCCAATGAAATCTGAAACAAAGAATAAAGTTGGAGAATTAGTATTCAAACTTGTACAATGAAGAAAATTCAGTAAGAAAACAAAATTACCACATAAAAATCAAATATTTTTGTATTCATAATTAAGAGTGAGAAGCTATAATAGAAGATATCACCTTATTTACAATAACTACAAAAAGTAAAAATAGTATATTTACTTAGAGTACATTTAATAATGAACAAA